TTAAAAATTTGATTTTAGAAAATTGCGAATGGTCTAAAAGTGCAGATAAATTTGATATAACATTTTAGAATTAATTATAAATAATTATTTCCATGGGAAAATGTTGCTATTGTAATTTTAAAAATAACAATGATAAGATTCTTTTAAAATGGAGCCTAGAGGGAATTAGAAGTAGCACAGAGTATAAATTGGACATATTGAAGGATATTTTTGAACAATGTACCCAGAAGTTAATTTAAAAATCTCCACTTCTATAGATAGACTGTGTTTATAAGATATTGTGGATGAGCAGAAAGTTTTACCGCAAAACATTGTGACTGAGTTTAAATTGGATTTCTACAAGAATGACATGGAAAAAGATATTATATTGGGTCTACAAAAGAAACTGGTTGATTTCTTAATAATTAAAAAGAATTACAAATAACAAACCAAGTGAGTGACCTGGATAATTTTCCTATATTGTATTTGCAAAAGGGGTGTGCTAAAGTTTTGAAGAAGTTTGTGAAAAGGGACAAAAGCGAAATAAACACAAACCAAATTTCACATTACAGTATACTTCCTTCCTATTGAAGGAAGTAAAGACTGGTATGTTTGAAATAAAGGGAAGCAATATAAAGTTGGTTTATTTAATCAAGCTTAAATAGATATGTGTATTTATGGTAACCCTTAATGGGCTTTCACTAGCACTAGAAGTGAGACAACAATGCTTATCGATTGTTTATAGATAAAAGGTTAGATGGGGAAGAAGAAATCAGTTTGTTGTATTTTAAGAAAAGGCAATAATTTATTTATACATTGTGATGAAGGTGGGAAGTTACTTCTCTGTATATCTTTTTTTTTCCTTTTTGCTTACTATATATTTATTTTTGCTTTTCTATTTCTATTTTTCCCATTTTTCATTCTTTTCTGCATGTTCTATACATTTTTTGTATTTGTTTTTATTGTTGAAATTATAATCTTTAATACAGTTACTATAAAAATTACATTAGATAAATTCATGGGGGTCTCACTTAGAAATAGCTACTAGTTTTGATGGATATCTCTTAGAGCAAGAATCCAAGATACCGTTCTCTAAATCTCTGTTGCTTGAGGGGCAATAGCAGAATGAACAATCATCTTATGTGTTATAACTATATTTTTAAATCTACAAATTAAATTATTTTGTGGTAATGCATAACTGGCTCTCTTAGACAAGAATTGAGTTTTGTCATATCATATCAACTATGCCATTCTGGGGGCTATATTCTGCATGTATCTGATCTGAGTTTTTTTTTTCTTTTTATGATTATGCCACAGGTAACACCCTAAACAAGAGAAACGGAACCGAAGGATATTTGCAACTAGAATACATTCTTGCAAGAATACCCCCCCCCCCCGCTAATTCTTCAGCCAAATATTACATGCCAATCTTATTTGCTCCAATTCCTTCAAGGGGGATTCACACCCTGATGATTTACATAAAATATTCTAAAATCTTTACAGTTTCCATTTAAATGAAGTGAAGAAACAGATGGACAAAATGAGGCCAGAACATCAACTGGACAAGCTGAGAAGAGAAAGTGAGAAGATACTTGTCAGCTGTCACCTAGGGCTCTAAATGAAAACATCACCAACCATCTGTGTTTCATTTTGGTAATTTCATCCCAGTCCCACCATAAGGCCCATGTAAGCTCCTTTCCCAAACTGCTGTCCTCAGAGGATTCCATCTTCTGGCAGTAGTTGTTTCTCCCAGCAATCTCTGCCCCCATCATCCCTTTGATAAAGGAACAGAGGAAGCACTGTGCCCAAAGATGTTCAGGAACCAAATACTCAGTCCTTCAGGAAAGGAAAGGATAGGCGAAGTCTACTTCTTTGCATAGGCTTGAAAGTGCCCCCAACCCCAACATCTCCTCCCTAAGAAACGAACAACATCTGAATGAAGGCAAGGGGGTGGGGTTTGGCCCCGATGAAATAAAATCATCTAGCCTGCAGAAGGAAGCCTGGTTTTCTACTAGGATCTGGTTTTCCACCTTGGCTGGAATTTCATCTTGTCTTTTAAAGTCTCTGTTAAACAAGAAGGGGAATCAGATAATCTCCAAAGCTTTTTCAAATTCTAAAGTTTTCAAATTCTCAGTATAGCTATTTAACCATCTTGACTTAGTACATAAAAAATAAGGCTCATTATTCAAGACAAATGATCTTTTACCATATTCTTATATAAATCGGTTTGATTCTCATCAATATACTGCAAAATATTTTAGAGCCTTTTAGTCTTTTATCTTCAGTGAAGATAAAATTTTCCTGTCTGATGATGTGGACTACAGTCAGTGAAAACTTACAACAGAATCCCATTCTTAAGGTCTAAACCAGTGACAGGCAACTTCTGGCACTCCTGGTGCTGCTGAATGACAATTCCCAATATTCCTATAAAGCATGGCCAACCATGAGGGATTCTGGGAACAGTAGTTTAGCAATGTTGAGATGGCTATGGGTTGCTTTTTTAAAATAATTGTTTCTACTGTGCCTCCAGGTGTGTTGAGTTCCCAGAATTCCTAGTCAACACATCTGGAGTACACCAAGTTAATAAAAGACTGATTCAGAGGAATTCTGTAGCTAACCTAACAATTTCATTTTGCCAAAACATCCATTCCTTTTCCAGAGACATCATATCCTGTTCCTTTAGCATTCCATGCACTCTTGGGTGGGGGAAAGGATGATCTTGGTTTAGAATAACTAAAACGAGTGCAGTTGAGCCAAATACCTAGTGAGACTTACGAAGTTTAGATAAGAACAAGAAACAGGATGAGTTCCCAAGGCTTAAACAGAAAGATAAATTTGTACTTCGCAGAAAATTTTATGACAGTAAGAGAAATTCATGAAGGGATACAGTGACCTAAAAGGAAGAGTTAATTGATTCTCCCTTGCTAGAGGTTTTCAGACATAGGTTGGGTAGCCATCTGCTAAGAATATTCTACCATTGAATATTCAATGAATTTCCTCAATGGATTAGATGAGGTTTGGATTAGATGGCCTGCAAGATCACATCAAATTGAATAGAATAGAATAACAAAGTTGGAAGGGACTTTGAAGGTCTTCTAGTCCAACCCCTTGCCTAGGCAGGAAACCCTACCCTTACACCACTTCAGACAAATGATGTTATCCAACATGTTTTTAAAAGCTTTCAGTGGTGGAGCATTCACAAATTCTGGAGGCAAGATGTTCCACTGATTAATTGTTCTAATTGTCAGAACATTTCTCCTTAGTTCTAAGTTGCTTCTCTCCTTGATCAATTTCCACCTATTGCTTCTTGTCCTGCCCTCAAGTGCTTTAGAGAATAGCTTGACTCCCTCTTCTTTGGGGCAGCCCCTGAGATATTGGAAGACTGCTATCATGTCTCTCCTAGTCCTTCTTTTCATTAGACTAGACATCCCAGTTCCTGCAGTCATTCTTTATATGTTTTAACCTCCAGTCCCATAATCATCTTTGTTGCTCTTCTCTGCGCTCTTTCTAGCGTCTCAAGATTTTTTTTTTTACATTGTGGGCGTGGTGACTAAAACTGGGTGCAGTATTCCAATTGTGGCCTTATCAAGGCATTATAAAGTGGTATTAACACTTCATGTGATCTTGATTCTACCCCTCTGTTTATGCAGCCTAAAACTGTGTTGACTTTGCAGAACACTGCTGGTTCATATTTAAATGATTATCCACTAGAACTCCAAGATCCCTTTCACATCATCTACAGTTCAGTTTTAAAATCATTAAAATTCATTATCTTCCTAATTGTTATATATTCATTAACCCATTGTTTGCTCAAGGCAAATGATAGAATAAAATGAAACTGAAATATTCAGCCATTTAATGTCACCTTGTATTGTAAGATAATTGGTGTATACAGTTGATATAAACAAATATACAAAAATAACCAGCCAAAATGGTACACATGGCTTCTTCTTTAAAACCAGAACCTTTTCAAACGGAATAGATTCCATAATTTGGAAGCAACATAGCTCACACATAGGAGCATCTATCTATCCAATTCATTTCTGCTTGAGCTCATTGGATTTCATATTGGAGCCTTATTTAAAAATGAGACACAACACAACAGCAGAGAAAGTAGACCAGTGATTTTGCAAGCCATAATAAGCATAATACAAAATCAGCAACTCTGTTAAATATATGGAAACAGTTTCTCACAAACATGTGGTCTAGAAAGAAGATTATATGAAGTGTAGCACTACAGTGTGGTGAACTAAGTTCACAAGGAACACGTTTGGATGTATGTTTAGTGGATGCCTCTGGGTGTGATACACACACACACACACACACATATATATATATATATATATACACACACACATACACATATGCATACACACACACACACACACACACACAAATAAACCATTAGCACAATAACTAAGTTTTCCCAAGATTATGTCAGAAATTGACTGGCTGGTTTGTGACATCCTCCAAATGTTACTTCTGGTTTATGTGAACCCAGAAAGTTGGGTTAATTACATACTAACAAGTATAAGTAATAACTAGAAGAATTATATGAATTGTCACTGACAACTGTTCACATTTGCCAGATGTTTGTGCATTTGCACTGCCATTATGAATCATTCTTTTTCTATAGTCTTATTATTAGTTTCAATGTGACTGGAGAGTTTTAGGGACCAATACATAGAAATCTATATATAATGCTGCCATTTGATAGGTATCTTTTTGTGCTTTTCTATGAAAACACCATTTAATTTTTATACACTCAGTGCCCTAGTAGAGTTACACCTGTATTTTACACACCATTCTGCACATGTACTTTATTTCCGCTGCTGTTTGGGCTGGCTCACACCTGAACCCTGTCTTTACCTGTCCTTCTTTGCCCCCACCCCAATTTTGGTGACTGGGTAATTCTCAGAGCTGCCCTTCCTCAGATTCACAAGACAACAGGCACTTCCAACCCGCCGCCCGCTCCTGGTTCATTCTTGGCGCACTCGCCCCGTGGAACGTGGGGACGGTACCTGCTCCTTTCCTTTCCGGGAAAGACGATCCCATGGCCTCCTCCAGCAGAAGCCAAAGCACTATCAGTGCTCCCCAGGAAAGCTTCCGCGATTCGGGGTGCCCCATCACTCCACTGCACCACTTTTCCTTGGCACGAACTTTCTGGTGCGCCTGGCGAGCAATTTCCACCCGGGCTGTTCCTCTCTCTTTCCTGCAGCCTCCACCTCCGTTCGGCTGCCAGCGGCGTGGGATGAGTGGCTCCCGGAAGATTCCTGCTCGGTGGCGGAAACTTGTCTGCTACAAAACCCAGCATTTGGAGGTTGCTGGTGCAGCACGGAACTGTCAAAGCTCAGCTGGGCGGAGGGCGGGGGGTGGTGAGGGTGGGCGAGAGAGGCAGGAGCAAGAGGTCTGGGAAGGATGCAGAGGAACCGGGGAACCAGCCTGTCCTCTAGTGGCCATTGGTAGAAATTGCTACAAGTACAGTACAGTATCCATAAGTGAAATGGGTGTTCTATCGATCCTGGCTTTACTTTGTAGATAAAGTAAAAAATTACTTTGGTGGAATTAATCAACAACATGGGATACGATTTGTAAACGTGGGATTCTAAACTTCCTAGAATTATGGAACATTAGGTCTGGAAGGGACTTGGTAGGTGAAAAATCCAAACCTTTTGACCAGAGTGGGAATCTATTATTTCCCTATTGCTGATATCTCCATCCTGTTTCTCCATAAAACCTCAAGTACAGGGAACTTCATCAGTTCCAAAGAATCCATACTTGAACAGCTGTTAGCATCAGGACATTTTTCTTCTGTTTGCTTAATAAAAGTAGGCATCAGCTGTGGTTAATGTATTTGTAAATAGCTGGAAAACTAAAGCATGATCTCAGAGAGAAATGGGGAACTGGAGAAAGTTTGCAGCATTTGTAATACTTGCATAAAATCAAGATGCATTATGAGGCCATATTGCAACTTGTTATTGAAATACAATACAGAGCAGAATAAAAAAGAAAGATAAAATTGTTGCAAATTTTAAAGATGAAAATTTAAAGATGGGACATTGGGAAGAACTACGGGTGGGGATGGGGGGCAATAAAATTTATACCAACTCACCGTCTGAGGGAAAATTGATACAAAATGTTGTACACATGCTATAGTATATAACTCCATTAGTGATTGCCAAACTGGGCAAATTAACCAGTGATAAATGTTGAAAATGCCACAAAAAAGGAGAACTCTTTACCATATGTGGTAATCATACAAAAAGACTCACAAGTTTTGGGGGAAAAGTACACCAAAACAACCAGAAAAATCTGAAAATAAAATTTGAAATGAAATTATATTTGCATTAGGTGTGATCCCAGAGAATATAAATGAAAAGCATAACTTATTAAGACATATGCTGATGGAGTCAAAAATTAACTGGGCACAACACTGGAAATCTTGCTATCAATATAAGATTAAAAGACTAAAATTGAAGGTTATAAAGTAATGGAAAAATTGGCTATATGTATCTACATAGCAGCAGTCTAATCAAGTTCAACCAGGAATGGCTCCCTTATAATTAGTCACATAGCAAGGCAACTTAATATACTTATAATATGGCTTTTGAAGAAAAAGTGAGTTTAAAAATTATTAAAATGGTCTAAACAGAAATTAGTAAATAATAGAAGTTTAAAATAGAGTATGTAGATAGCTAAGTAGCAGTTAGTAAAAGTTTTAAATGGTTTTTAAAAAATGTTTACATTTTTTGTTTTATTGTATAATGTCCAGATGCATATCTGTGATATGGGTGGTCATATAGATTTGATAAATAAAGTAAAAGAAAGAAAAAAGAAGGGAAAAAAGCAGTTTGAATGATTTTTCTTATAGTTGTCATTCCTCTCTCTTTCTATTTTTTTTTTATTTTTTTCAAAGAATTGTTTTCATTTTTTAATCATTGTATTAAATCACATCTTTTCAATTCTCACAGTGATATTTTTCAGATGTTCAATTACTTCCTTGTTGGTTCTGTCTTATTTTCTGGAATATCTCTGAACAAATCTGCCCAGTCTTCTGCATGACAGCTATTTGATACTTGAAAACAATTTTCATCACTTCCAACGGTTTTCCCCAGGCTGAATACAATCAATACCTCCAACCATTCATCATATGGATTTTATCTTCTTCATATTTTTATTCTTCCAAGGCCCATATTATCTTGCTTGTTGTCCTCTGGACAGGCTTCATTTTATAAATGTCCTTCCTAAAATATGTATTTGGATGTAAATGTGATTGAATGAGTACAGGATAGAAACACGGATTTATCTTTCTTGATATTTCTTTTTGTGAAATCTAGGGCAGGTGTCCCCAACCCCTGGACCACAATTGGGCCGTCGCATATTCACAACTGGGCTGCACGAGTGCTGGGATAGCATATACATGGATGTGCAGCTTCATTCATGAGCCCAGGTTCCCCTCTTCCCTCTCTCCCAGCCGAGCCACCAAGTCACAAAGGTTGGGGACTTCTGATCTTGGGTCCTTCCTTCCTTCCTTCCTTCCTTCCTTCCTTCCTTCCTTCCTTCCTTCCTTCCTTCCTTCCTTCCTTCCTTCTGCTATTTTATACTTCTTCCTCATATTCATCATTTGGTCCATCAAAATATTCAGATCCTTTGTTTATGAACTACCCAGCATGATTCCCCCTCCAACCTGAACTCATATTTTAGATTTTCCTTACTCAACTGTAAGACTTTCCTGTTGAAATGCGTTTTGGTAGTTTCAATCTTTTTCTAGCTTCCCAGAATTCCTGTGAATTTTGATTCGGTCCTCAATCTAAGGTGTTGCCTCTGTTCCCAACTTGATTTTTTGAAAACATGACAATCATATTTTCTAATCCCTCACCCACTTTATTAGTATGTTGAACAGCAAAGAGCCTACACTCACGTTTGGGTACATCACTTGACAATTCCAACAATGTGATCCTATTGATCACTTTTGTTGATTTTGATCACTAAATGAACTCTGTACTGATGGAATGATAGCATAACCCAATCTATATTTTGCCACTTTCTTCATTAGAATTTGGTTTTGTTGAAAACTTAATTGAAGTCAAGGTAAATTATATTCACCACATTCCCATGGGCAGTTAAATGGGTCCTCTGTCAAAGGAGGAGATTGAGCTGACCTGAATTGATTTATTCTTGATAAACTATGCTGGTTTCTGCCAAGCAATACATTCCTTTCTAAATGTTCATAAACCATCTGCTTAACAATCTGTTCAAAAATTTTACCCTTTATTAGAACAGAATAGGGTAGAGTAGAGTAGAGTAGAGTAGAGTAGAGTAGAATAGAATAGAATAGCAGAGTTGAAAGGGACCTTGGAGATCTTCTAGTCCAACCCCTGCTTAGGCAAGAAACCCTATACCATTTCAGACAAATGGTTGTCCAATCTCTTCTTAAAAACATCAAGTGTTAGCATAGTTAGAATTAGTATAAAGCTGATCCAGATCTTCGCCATTATCCAATTGTCTACCCTTTCCATTTTCCTCCTTTTAGTGCTGACTTAATGAAAACAGTCTTTTGTGGCATTTAGCTTCCTTTGTGAGCCTAAACTCCTTTTGGCTTTAGCTTTTCGAACTGTATTTCTGAAGACATTATCTGCTTGCTAGTTTACTTCCTTAGTGATTCCTACCATGTAGCTGTCCTTTTTATTCTTAGATCAGTTGCAATTTTCCTGTGTATGCGCAATAATCTAATCTGTCTGCTCCATTTTCCCCCCTCTTTGGAACAGTTTGTAGTTCTGTTCCCAGAATTTAGTTCTGAGTAGTTCCTAACCCTCAATTTCCTTTGTTCAAGATTTATATCCCTTGGATCCTGTCTAGCATTTCTTTAGTCAGTTGATTTTTAATCTCTAAAAATCTGTATATGTTCAACATACCTTCATTTCCAAACACATCAGATTTTGTTTTGCTTTAAGATTATTCATAATTGGCCAGGCATCAATCTTAAATTGACTTGCACTTAAAGCCTGTTTATTGCATAAAAACAATGCCTAACTGGAATAGGATAATTAGTTTTTATTAAAAAAATAAAAAAATAAAACCAATACCCAACATTCCCATTAACGTCGCTGAGAAGTTTTGTTCCCATAATATATTGAACCATAAATAACATAATAAAAGTTTTAGCCTAATGTGTTGTGTGAACTTGCCCATGTGATTAGTGATTTTGGTTACACCTAGTCATATAAATTGATCCTAACTCTGCTTGCTGCATGGATGCTATAGTTTCCTTAATAACATAAAAAGATTTCAGCCCAATTATTCTAACAAGGGAAGGTTAGAGGAGTTGCTGTCAGACTGTCCTGAGCAACCAGAGGAAAGTTGGGATATAAATAAAACAAAACAATACAGTAGTTTGCCATTGGCTTCTTGCAAGACACTTTACTTATGCAAGTGCAATACGCTATTTTTCCCTAAATTCCCTTGCCAATTTTCTTCAGCGAGGGTGGGAGATCTGCCGTAGCCAGTAATATTTTTCAGGCTTTTCCACACATTTGCTCAGTGCTTGGTATGCAGTTTCTGTGCATGCAGCTTATTGTTGTTAAATCATGGAGTTTTGCCCTCGGGTGATTTTGTACAATAAGTTTCAACTGGCTACTGAATGCAGTATGAGATATAAAACCAACCAACCTCCTTTCTTTCATATATTGAATCACAACCAGCCAACCAAAGTAAAACCTAATTAAACTTTGCATGTTGTATAAATATAAATTTGGCCCCTAGATCATTTGACTTGTTTTTGCCTGTCATGCAAATCTAGCCAATATATCTCATAGAGTTTTGGACTACCAGACCTGGACTGAAAAATTTCAGATGATTACTAGATGGCAGCAAAAAGATAGATATTTCTGCTGTCCAGTCTGATGCTTTAATGGAGTTTGAAATTTTGAGGAAACCGAATGTTGCTTACTAATATCCAAGAAAGCCTCTGATAAACTTACTTATTAACATTCACAGTGTTGGAACATTAGAAATGCAGGCAGTCATCTTGACTTTGCACAATGTTTTGGACCTGGTTGTTATGACCAGAATACTGTGCAATATTTAAGTGCCAAATGGGCCTCCAGGTTCAATCATTTACAGGAATAAATTCTCATATAGTGCTGCAGAACAGTTCAAGGGTGCCAACAGCAGCCACAGCTTCCTTGTTTTTTTCAGAACAACAAAGAATTGGAACAAACTCTGATAGTAGCAGGGTAAACACTTATCTCTTCCCCAACTTCTAAAACCTGATATTCTCCAGGTGTGCTTTCAGTTCTGTAATCTAGCAGTTCTGTAATCTAGCTAGACAGGAGATATTAGGAAAACCTCTCCTATATAACAATAACTTCATCAAGTAATTGGTGAAACTTGATAATGAGTGATGTGAAAACTTAGGGAATTGCAAAGGGATTCTTGGATTTTTCTAGATTCTTACCAATATTTGTGGCACCAGCCACAGTTACAGTGTTTCGATGAAACCTATCACACCCATGACTACAATATTTGATTGCAAGGGCACCACACAGGAAGAGGTTAAAAATAAATGACATTTAATGAGGAAATACTTTATTTTTTTTTTATTCAGACCATATCTAGAAATATTTTTTAAAAATCGCACCATCATAAGAATACATTTGGACATAAAAAAGACAAACAACATGTGTTTACACAACACCAAACCTTCTAATAATAAAGCACATATTTCTGTAATTTCATGAATTAGCATACCATCTTCAAATGAGATTTCTAATCATTTTGCCTTACAAAATTAAAGGTATAATAAAGATATAATAAAGGTATAATAAAGATATGGTATAGGTATAATAAAGATATGTTTAATACCGATTTTCCACAATTCCAAGCCTGGGAATGACCATTCCAAAACAGATAATTTTGCATTATGGTCAAGAAGGGTATATTACATTTTTACCACCATTCTCCATGTGCTTTAGTCTATACATGTAATTGGATGAGTTGACTGCAGAGTGAGAGAAAGAAAGAAAAAAAACGCTCAACAGAATTTATATCATGGAATCACATTTCTGAATATTCATTTACATCAGTGTTGGGGAATTCTGGGAGTCTATATATCTTAAAGTTTGCCAAGCTTGAGAAACACTGTTTTATATTAGAAGCATGGAAATAGAAAAGAACTATATTACAACCTTAGCAGTTACTTTTCTCTTCGTTTGTAGGTTGTTTTTTTTTTTAAACAAATCTTGGATAAAATCATTTTTGGAAGGTCTCCTCTGTAGTCTGAAGCTATAGAGGCAACTATACTAATTCTTCTGCACAAAATATCAGATTAAATATGGCATTAACTGCATTTATACATAATAAACTCTACAAGGAGGAATTCTTTTGGCAAGACTGGTAGCATCAGATATCCCTTGCACCCAGGTCAGTCTGTCCTACAGATGGATAGCAAGCATCTCCAAGACCAGAAGTAACACGTACACTTGTATTTAGGTTATATTTGAGATTAAGCTGTTGTAATGTCAGAAGCTAACACCGTTCCTCTTAAAAGAAGAAAAGACAGGTTGAGAGGAAGAACTTTCTTATTTACAGACTTTCACATTCACTTTCCTATCACTTGTTTTGCTTGAACTAACAGATTTCCTTGTTCCAAACCTGCCTTGACCTGTTTGAAAGGAATCCTCCGAAAAAGCAGCTGAAAGAACTCTTTCCTGATATGTGTCTCTCTCACAGACATCCACATGCACATACATGCATGCACATGAGCACACGCATGCACGTGTGAGCACACACAGAGAAACACACTCATACACACAGTCAGAAAAAGACAAAAAAGAGGGACTTGGAAAATTCTGAAACAACACAGCATTCAAAATATTTTTGGATATATAGGTAGTCCTCGACATATGACCATAATGGAGTCTGGAATTCCAGTCATAAGTGACTGTAGTCGTAAAGTAATACATATGACCAGTCATATGAGTAATAAAATACTGCAAGCACCCAAAATAAAATCATGTGACTTTGAGGGAAGCAGCAACTGCAAAAATCAGAAGTATCTTTTTTGCAATCTATCGTAACTCTGAACTATTGCTAAATGACTGATCATAAGTCAAGGGCTACCTATAGGACAGATAAAATGCAGCAATCCTAGGAGGAGATGGAGAAATGAGGACATCTGTTTCAAAATTTCCTTGGCTATTTCTTCATTTGGGAAGCAGTCCAGGCATTTTGCAAGGCAGAGTAAAATCCATGAAATAACATTTCCCAAAATAATATTCCACCCTCTTTGTTGTTGTTTTCACAATGATAATGCAAAACATTTTAGCACCAGGGAAAGGAAAAGCAATGCTGTCTTTTTCGCTCAACCGTGTTCCATAATCTTTTTTGTTTCATAGGACTTAACGCTTCTCATGGCAGTGTCCAGTTCTGACTGGAAAGGTATAAAATCAAAGCTACATAGCGGTGTGATGTAAACAGACTTTCCAATGTGATACAATTAGATCTGAAGTCCAGGAAGAATCTCTCTGCAGACTGAATGCAACTCCTCCTATAATATGACATGTGCTAAGAAAGTATTTTAATAAAATACTGATGCCTTTGGCGAAGAAAAAGAAGCCATCCAAGGTCCAACAGATCCTGAGAGTTTTGCAAAGTGGAAATAAATATAAGTTTGGTTTGTTTTTCCCCCGGTCCCAAAGTAGTTTTGGCTGGGATTACTTGGCAGCAACTTGAGATATCATCCATTCTAAACCGGCAGGAAGGCTGAATAGAGAAAAAGAAATGATTAATACTAGAAAACTCAAAATTCATAAATCCTAAAAGAAAACTGATATTAACTTGGATCCTTTCAAGGAAGAAATCATTTTCTTCTCTTTCTTGGATATAAGCCCAAGACCTCCCTCCAATGCTTACAGGTTGCATCAATTGACTCCTTTTAAAAATTGTATTGGAGGGCACCTAACATACTGCTCCAGGTTCTAGCCTCTTTATTTTCAAAAAAAAAAAAAATCTAGGTTTTGCTTGAATCTCCACATGCATTCTAAGAAAGATAAGAAAAAAAATGTAGATGGTTTCAACTAGATTGGGGTCTCCAAACTTGGCGATTTTGGACACTTCTGAATTAAATGCTCGGGAGATATTTGCCTGCTGGTAAATGGCTGTTTTCTGATCAGCCCCATCTACTCCTAAGCAACAATTATATCCAAGATATGCGCTAAGGGTTCCAGATATGTTCTTCATTTCCCAAAGGATATGTTTCTGCTTTCCTTAATTTTAAACTTGGGTGGGGCCCAAAGGATGCAACAGAAACAACCAGAAAACAGCCTTTTAAATAGGCCATGATTAAGGCTGTCCGCAGTGAAAATGATTTTTATTAATTAATTCTAGTTGATTGGGAAATCTTTACGATACTTTGTATGAGAAAACATGTTTTTTCTTTAGAGATATTATACATGGATATATTAAACAGATATAGCTTACGGAAATATTTTCCTCTTTCCCCTATCCCCTCCGCCCCACATTCATACATTAAAGACAGCACTGGGCTCCTTCAATGTTTCTAAGAACCGTTATTAAAAATCAATCAATTCACATGAGTTATTAACCACAAACATTTCCACTCATGATGTATTTCAACAATAGAAAATAGCCTTAACACTTAAAAAGTGTTCCAGGGTTCCAATCCAGGCTTGGCAAGGAGGCAGAAATGTAATACTGTATTATGCAATATTGAATTTGTTGGCCTAAGCTAGAACTGTTTTGCTTTCTTTGCCCAAGTTATGTTTCTACCTCACAGAAGGAACATAATAATTTTTATCAAAAGAAACTTGATGCCTTTTAAGATTGGCACTGCTCTTTGCTCATTTCACACAGCAGGGGTGTCAAAATATATAATTTGTGGATGCCTCAAAAACTAATGGCACTGCAGGGCTGTCCCACAACAAAGGCCACACAGCAAGGCAGCAGAAAAGAATAAGGAGCTGCAGAGCTGCCCTGGTGGGATTTTGAAGGTTTTGAACTGGCACAGGTGCTGTGCTGGCATGTAATTGCCCTGCAGGTGTGCAGAGACCGTTGCTGCTGAAATCACCATTTGTCAATTTTAGTTGACTTCAGGGATATGTGATATACAGCGGATAACAATTGCAGCTACGGGGATACAATATTTAATGTTATGGTAGATAGCACAGTTTTGCTTTTTTGTTTCATCAATAGCATAATTTGCATTTAATCTATAAATTATTGATTATAAATAAATCAATTTAATATTATTGATGAAATTGACATCGTTGATATCTATTTGTATTTAAAATTTGTTACATATTTGAATGCAAGGCACTGATTAGTGCACTTAATATCATGTGCCCGACCCCCCACCCTATTTGAGTTTAAGATCCCCATTCTAGAGAGAGAAGACTTCAGCTGCTCCTAGCATACAGTAGATATAATATGGTTTACTGACCCCTCTCCTGTGAGTGCACAGCAACCTTGTATATGCCATGGGTGGTCTCTGATAGAGCTCAGGGTGAGGAACTTAGAAATTTCAGAGGTAGACATGGAATTTTTTATATCTTGCTTGTTGGCAAATATTAACACAGCTGCATTACGCAGGTCCTGGGCAAAGGAAAAGAGAATAGCAACAGCACTTAGACTTATATACTGCTTCACAGTGCTTTACAGTCCTCTCTAAGCCATTTACAGAGTCAGCATACTGCCCCCTCAATAATCTAGGTTCTCATTTTACCAACCTCATAAAGATGGAAGGCTGAGTCAACCTTGAGCCAAATTTGAACTGCCAAATTGCAGTCAGCCAGCAGTCAGCAGAAGTAGCCTGCAGTACTGCATTCTAACCACTGTACCATCATGGTCAGTGGTTACAATTTGGGTTTGCCTCCAGTTTCTATCAACTTATGATTCTTTCGAAATGGGCGAAATAATACATAAAACAATCACATAAAGTTCAGAAGAGAAGACAAAAGTGTGTCTGTGACTTAGCATGAGGTATGGATCTAACATGGTTTGTTTATTTGTGGAAGGAATTTGTGGACCATCCTCAAAACCTGCTTTCAACCTGGAACTAATGGATCAAGCCATTGGGTTTGAGAATCTCAAGGAAGAGTGGATCCTGTAAATAATTGACACTGCACTAATTTAGACTGCACTCTCTCTTGATCTTTTGTAATTTATAACTAGTTGTAACTGATTTAATGATAGATTGTAATTGTTAGTTTTCTTTTAATCATATACGCCATTCAGTGTCACATGGAAGTGAGATGGGTGGCTATATAAACTTAATAAAGAAGTAACAAAAGCATAATATGGAATCCAGAAACTGTGGTTTAATAAACCATTAATTATGGTTTATCATCATGACTATATTCAGTCATAATTATTCTACAAACCATTATTGAAATAGACTGCTGTGATGTATGAATAATGTAGTTGTAATTTAGTTTTTATTTAGCATACCACCACTGAAAATTTTAAACTATGGTTTATGATGATGTAATGTGTAAGATCAAACAGTATGGTTTGTTTAACACAGTTTGATTAACAAAAACATGGTTTCCTGTGCTGTATGCATCTAACCAGTGTTTCTGGAACAGAAACACAGTAATCAGGCTTCTTCTAGGATATATGCCACCTTCCCCAAGTCTTCTTCCAAAATCCCTAACTTCTGTATCCCTTTCCTGCATTTCCTGTTGCTCTCATGCAACAGCATGTAGCTCTTACTTTCATGTACAGGTGTTGTGGTTCACTGGCAGCCTGTGCAGACAGCAATGGAATCAGACAGTGGGGAAGAACAGGGACCAGTCTGGGAGTCTGGGGAGGACTTGGACGAGGGTCCTGCATCCGATATAGAGATGGGGCCAGGACCATCTGGGAGTTGTGTGCTGACTCCGAAGCCGCCAGAGTCTGGCAGCAGCGAGGCAGAAGGACAAGGGGAGCCTGTTCCCAGTGCGTGTGTGCACAGAGCTGCTAGAAGGCAAGAGCAGCTAAGACAAAGGGGGCAACTCGAGAGTAAGGCTTGGAGATGATTGCCCCTCCCATAAGGTATAAAGGAAATACAAAGGTAGAGAAACCTTTGCAGGAAGCAAAGTCATTCTCTATGTTCGAATTAAACCTTGACTGTGGACTTTGTACTTTAGTTGTTTTTTTATAGTTACTTTGGCACTTTAGTTGTTGGCAGCAATTCAAAGGAGAGAAAGGTGGGTGCTTATTTCGAGGGACTGTTTGGGACTCATTACAGGCTGAGAATGAACATATTTCCCAGCACTAAAATAAAACAAGAGTTGTTTTAACTAAATGTGTGCTTAAATATGGTCTCAGGAAGCCTTGGTCAGAACAGCAGGATTAACCTTTCATCTTTGTCCAGAATATTCACTGTTGTTAATTTTCTGTTTTATCCTGAACAATTAAGACATTGGAAAGAATTCCCTGATCACAGGGAAACTCAGCCAATAGAAAAGAATTCACATTTAAAAATAATCCACTGGCAAAAAATGAAAACGTAGGTTTACTTCAGAAGGAACAGAACAGCTTGCATTGTGACATCACAATCCATCATTTTGGTATATTTGTAATTAGCTATGGTTGCCTAGGCTAGTCCTGTTTATTGGGAGCTCCAGGAAAATACAGGCAGTATCACTTAATGACCAGCCACTTTAGTGACCAGTTGAAGTTCCAATGGCTCTAAAATGGTTACTTATGAAGTCCCAATGGCCATGTATACACATACTGTACACACATACATCTCATAGTCATGACTATATTGTATTTCAGGCACTTGACAACTGATCACCCTTTATGGCCGGTTGCAGAATTCTACAGTCACGTGGCTGTGGTTTACAATTGTTTTGACCATTTTTGACTTTTTGCCAATTACTATTTAAAAAATGTCCACAGGAATCAGTGCATTCACTTAACAACTGTAGTATTTGCTTAATGACCGCCGCATTTACTTAACAACTATGGCATTTACTTAATGATTATCACAAAAAGTCATAAACCTGAGTCTGGTCACCTTGATACCTTATTTACAACCATCATGACATGACAAAATTCTGGGATCTGTTATGGTTGTAAGTCAAGAACTGATCTTGTCCCAAATGTGCTTTTTCAAGAGGCATCTGGACTTCCTGGTTTTTCTTTGAAGACGTTTTGCTTCTCACCCAAGAAGCTGCTTCAGTTCTGAAGGACTTAAGAACTTCAAAGCTGAAGAAGCTTCTTCGAATCATAGAATAACGGAAGGTACCTTTGAGGTCATCTAGTCTAACCCCCTGCTCGAGCAGGAGAGTCTATTCCAAATATTAGCCTCTACCTAGGATGGAACGAACTCATGAGAAGCGAAACGTCTTCAAAGAAAAACCAGATGCCTCTTGGGACAATCATGACCTGGATGACTGAGAGTCTCCGTAGGCACCAAGGACTATCTCTAATGGTGAAATCTGTTAAGATTCAGTTGTTGCTATTGATTTATCCATAGTGGTCTCAATTTTACATGTTTTAAACATGTGAGCAGACAGGTTGTGAATACCAGCCAGTATTCTCACAACACTAAAGTTCTTTGGGTGATTCAGTTTGTGGTCAACACATCTTATAGTTGGACCGGGTCTATAAATGTTACAGGAATGGTAGAATAGATGAGATTAGTTCAAGCACCAAATACCACTTTGATGGCTTCTCATGTAAATAATCTCTAAAAAGAAATAAAATATAAACTGTTCTGCCATAGTCTGTTCTTTGCCGACTTTCTCCTTGGAGAGCAATGTTTCCCTCCAAGCACTTAAAAATGAAATTCAGCCAGCTCTAGAGCCATGGCTGGACCAGCTTGTAATTGGTACAAGCAGCATTGTAACAGCAAATGTAAAAGACGCCCAGGAATACAAAATATACAAAACAGCTGTGGAGCAATATCTGAAATCACACACAACATATATCTCTGCATGCGGTAGCAGGTAAACTCACCTCGTGAGCTAACATCTTATACAGCTCCTCTTTTGTCACTGTCAGCCTCTCACGATCTGTGCTATCGATCACAAGGATGACAAACTGATCAAAGGGGAAAAAACACATTTATAAATTTAATCAAGACTAAGCAAACAGGATTGGAGCAGTGGCTGAGTTCATACAACCCACTACAAGCACAATATGTTGCAGAAATTGTGATTTATAAACCATGTTTGGGATATAGCACATTGGGTGAGCTAAGCAATTTCATCTTACTCAATAAGCTACTATTAAGCAAACTATTCCTGTGAACCTAGTTTTCAAGTGCCAGCCTTTGTGTGCCCAAACAGCCTTGTTTAGGAGAAGGAGGAAATGCCAGAAGGCTTGGAGAAAGATCCTATCACACAGGAAAACTTCAAAAGAATGAAAATTAAGCATTCCTGATGGCTGTAGTAAGCTATCTGTCATATGGAAGAAAGTAGAAGACTTGACAGGAGACAAAATGCAAGTAGAAATAAATAGGAGTATTTAGAACTAGAAATCTAACAGCAGCACCCTCAATGTATGTCTAATTTGCCCATATCTAAGATTTAAATCAGTACTATAGCTTAAATATATTGGTCAAGAAGTTCAGAGGTTTTGAGGAGTGTGCGCTAAACCAAGTTCACTATTTTGCACAACTACTAAGCTTGCTTTCATTCCAGCAACAACAGAGTTAAATAACCAAAAGACATTCCTAACATCAGAACATAGTTCAGGGAAGCCAGAGAATAAAATAATTTCAGAGCACGTCTGCAAAGAGAAGGTGATCCAGCTGAAAGAGACACGGAACTCTCTAGAGCAGCGGTCACCTACCGGTGAGCTGCGGCCCACTGGTGGGCCGTGAGAAAATTTTGGCGGGTCACAGCATGCTGAGGCGGGGAGATGGGGCAATACTGCGGACTCCCTAGCAAACTGTTGTCATGGCTGCTGCCTCTTGCCTCAGTGCATTGAGGAGGCCAAGCAGCAGCTGGAAGAGTGCGGACCTCCTGAGCCACAGAAAGCAGCTGCCCTCAAGTGAAGATGTTGTGAGGGGGAGGCTCGGCCCCCTCTTCCTCCTTGCCAAAAGTGCTCACACACTCAGCGGAAAGGAGGAGGCTTGTTGGGGACCAGAGGGCGGTGAGCGCTTTGAATGTGAGCACTTCTGGTGAGGAGGGAGAGAAGCTCCGGGGGGGGGGGGTTGAGCCTCTCCCTTGCAACATCTTCCTCTGAGGGCATCGATGCGCAGAGGCAAAAGGCAGGAGGTAACACCAGTTCAGAGGTTCCTTTCCCCCCCACCCCCACTCAGGCCAGGCCTATGCCATGATCTCCCATGCGTATGAGTCCATCCACCGCCAGTATCATCCCTGTTGCCCCACCTTCCCGACAGCCATCTGGTCTTCAGCATGTGGCTCGTCAGCTCAGAGTGGAGGTTGCCCGCCATGCTGAATTGTGCACATCCACACCCACACCTGCTGCTCTTCCCGTCAGGGGAAGCGACCCCTCTTGGCTTGGACCCTGGGTTTAGGACTGGTATGTCTTAACTGGGACTGAGATGACTTCGCCTCGCCTGCAGGACCGCCAAGTAGCAGCTGCCAGCTCCCTTCTCCACACGCCAAATCTTACCACAGGAAAGAGAGCAGCTAGGGTATCAGTGTAGTTGCTCGGTTAGTTCATAATCGCCCTACCTGGAGAAGGAGGTGCTGGAGGAGGAAGAGGAGGAGGAGGCAGTAGTAGAGAAGCAAGTCAGGTGTTAAAAAACCAGGGTGTGGGGGAGGCTTCCAGGTGGGGGGAGGCTTCCAGCCCAGCTCTCCTTCCCTCCCCCAACTCCAGGCAGCTACATCTGGCAAAGGAGGGAGAGGTTTCCTCTGACTTGGGGGAGATATGGAATGACAGGAGACCAGATTTTTTTTGGGGGGGGGGGGGGCTCTACTTTTCTTATTTTTTTTGTTAATAATTAAATAAGCATTTGTATATTTAATATATATTTATATATTAGAAATTAATTTTGTAAATAGTACATTTTTTATTAATATAAAAATTTTATATTAAATATATTATCTTTTTAAAAAAAATCATATTAGTGGTCCTCAGGATTTAAAAGTATCAGTTTGAGGATCCCTGAAGTCCAAAAGGTTGACGACCTCTGGCATAGACATCTTCCCCAAGGGGATTTTTAAAAAGAGATTCAAAATGTAATAATATATTTCAACTTGGCAGGTGGTGTATACTGTCTGTAAAGCATATAGGAGAAGGAACAAGAAGAAAATCACATTTCATATCTAAAAATGTCAAGAATTCAGTTTTGACATATGAAGAATGAGCCTCAGCTTGCCTTTGTTCTACAGAACAGAAACTATGATACAATCAAGACACGGGTAATTCCCATCTCCCACAAAATGCATACCTAAGCAATAACTTTGCATGTAATAGCAGAATATCAATATAGAAGAGGAAGTAGAGTGACAGAAAACAGTTACTAGAGAAAACCAAACATAAGATTAACATTGTTGCCCTGAAATTCAAAACCAAATTTTTGGTTTTAGTTGTCTGGTTTTCACAGTTGAAAACAACCATGAAAACAGATACATAAAACTCCTTTTATAGCGGGACATCTTGTGCCATCCAAATGGTCTTTGAAAACGAAAAAAATGTTGTTAAAAAGCATCTCCACCGAACACAGAAATATTGGCTGGAAGTGACTTGAATATTATTTCTGAATACCATAATTTCATGCCAGCTTTCATCAAAGTGGTGCCTCCGAATCAGCGTTTATCAATCTTGGCAATGTTTGGATGTATGGACTTCAACTCCCAGAATTCTCAGTCAACAAGCCAGGGAAGTCTACACATCTTAAAGTTAGCAAGGCTAAAAAAACAACCTGCTCTAAGCTGATGTCTTTTGAGACCTTTGCTTCTGTTATCGACTTATAAGGGGGACTAACATAGCCACCAGGACTTTTGACATTTCAGTATTAGTTAATATTGGCAGATCTTAGAACTTTTGGGCAAGCATTATACCCCCATAAACTTGATCAAATCTTATTATGAGTTCAGATTTAACCTATGTAAAGCATCAATTATATGAATTTATTATAATGGGGTTTAAGTTATTTTTAAAAATACTCTGCCCTTGTGCAAAACTGTAATTTCATTTGTTTGTTTTAACTTAGCATAAGTGGCTTACGTTTATACAAATTTGTATTGCCAAGAGTTATTTCCCAAATTTTACAACCTTATGTGCTTTTTATATGAAGCTAAGTGTAAACAGGAGAAGAAATAGTGGATGTAAGATGGGCATTTCTGAAACAGTATCCAGGTAACCCTCAACTTGCAACCATAACTGAGATGGAATTTCCATTTCTAAGTAAGGTAGCGAAGGGAGTTGTGTCTGGTTTTCAGCCTTTTTTGCCAAAATTGTTAAGCAAATCACTGCAGTTGTTAGATGAACATACAGTTATTAAGCAAATTAAGCTCCTCTCCAATGACTTCGCTTATCAGAAGCTACTTCGGAAGGTTGCAAACTATAATCACATGACTCTGGATGCCGCTACTGTCAGTTTTGGTTGCCAAATGCCCAAATTTTGATCATGTGACTTGGTTGCAACAGTTGTAAGTGCAAGGACGGGTCGTAAGTCTCTTTTTCAGTGTTGTTGTAACTTCAAAAAGTTACTTAAGCAAATGGTTGTAAGTCAAGAACTACCTGTATCTGGAACAAACACTTTAAGCAGTTAAAAGTGAACTGTATGTACATAATGACATGTTTTCTGGTACAGACTTTCGTCTCCTTCTATGACTATCTGGATATTTGGTGTATGGTATCCCACTAATCAATGACCAAAGAGCAGAAGGCTTTGCAGATTTTTGTGATAAATGTAGATTATGGAATGATTATGTGAGAGCTCAAGAAACACAACTCTGGATCATGATCCTCCTCACTATTCAATATTTATTTTACTTCCTTATATTTATTTGCTAACGTATACCCAACTCACCTCTGTGTTGGAATAGTAGGTGTTCCAAGTAGAACGCAGATTTTCCTGACCACCGATGTCCCACATCAGGAAATGTGTCTTGTGCTGGATGATTTCTTCCACATTGCTTCCAATTGTAGGTGATGTATGCACAACTTCATTCATTAGGCTGATGGAAGACCAGAACCATAAGGTGCTTTGTTAATGTCCCATCCTCCCCATACACTTTTATCTTCAAAAAACGGCCAAGGTGTTTGAGACAATTAAGCCTTCAAATTACCTATGTTCCATAGGATTTGGAAAAATCGAAAAGATTACTAGAAAAAGTATAGACAGGGACTAGTATAATAATCTTGATTCTTGTTTGGGGGAAATAGTAAGAAAAAGAACAGGGATGCTATAAATCTCTTACATCCCCTGAACAACAGTTGAAATAAACATTATGTAGCCCTGCTTTATTCTTTTAGAATACCCTAAATAGGTTATTCCATACTAATTCTAATTGTGGTGGGGGGCACAGCCTGTATTTGGTATTTCTGTCTGCCTATTGCCCTTCCCAAGGGCCTGGGATAGGCAGATGTGGTTGTTTAAATTATTAATTTATTAATATTGAAATATATCATATATTATTCTGAATAATATTATGATTCTTGTTTGTTACACAGCCAAACCGTGTCTGATATGAAAAAGATCCACACGTAAAGGTTTAATGTAACTGATTCATTGCTAAAATCCTATGTCCAGGAATCTTCTCAGGTAATAGGCAGCATCTGGTTAGACCTAGATCAGGGGAGCTGGACCTATCTTGTTCATGGCTATGTAAGAACTTTAAACTGATCCCTCTTTTTACCTCGTTCCCTGCTCTGCCATTCCTTCTCCCACAGCCAGATGTTTAAACTAAATTTGGGGTGTTACTATTACTTTAAACGACAAAATGTAGGACTTATATTTTTTCTGGATTCCCCTCCCCCCCCCAAAAAAATTGAGAAATGTGCTGGTATGTGTTTGATACATGATTAATGGATGTATCCTAAAGGCAAAATGTGTATATAACAGACACTCAATATCACCCATCAAATACTGTTGGAATCTGAATATATAGATTACTGTATTACAAAAGAGCCACAGCTTTAGTTGTAACATGCAAAGTGTGCTCTAATATGGTGTGTTTGAAACTTGGCAGCTTTAAAATGTGTGGACTTCAATTCTCAGAAATCCCCAAACCAGCATTTAAAAAGCATTGTTCTAGTTTATAAGTCCAAACATAGATTAAAGCAAGGGAATCGGTCTTTTTGTGGCCAAAGTCACTCTTTTTTAAAAAAATAAGTTCTCCAATTGCTGAGAACTTCAGGAATCAAATATGCAGTAGTGACACAATGATATCACTAGAGACACAGAGGTGGGTGTTTCTTAACTTTGGAGCGTCAGATTTCATTTTTAATAGGTTTGCTGTTAAATTTGTTGCACTGTAATAATTTAGAGGTTTACTACAACTTTTTGATGGCATGACTCTGGAAAGTCTGAGAACTCCAAAGAAAAAAAATATTGAAAATGTAAGCCACTCACAGGATATGAGCTTGCCTTCTCTTGGATTAAACTCTGTTGCAAAGGGAACAGACTGAGAGTTTTGTTTAAACTAGACATTGGATACTGAAAAAAGAGAAAGACAAGGAGACACTCACAACTGGTAAAGGATGGTGGTTTTTCCAGCATTGTCCAATCCAATAATTATCACCTTATGCTCTAGAAGAAGACAAAGTTGAAATATGTCAAGAGTTAATGTGGTAAAATTTCTTTGCTATTTCTTAAATCACTCATAAACTAAATTATTACTGCAACAATGCAATTGAGGAAAAGATTGAGGGAATGTTTGCTCAAGACTACCAACCGAACACATAAGAAAAATAGCTTGAATCTGTTACTTCCATCCATACCAATATAAATGTGCATGTAACTCATGTATACCTTCTATCTCCCTAGCCCTTCTCAAATCCTTTGGTTGCGTTAAGAACCCATTTGTTTAAGGTTTACTTATATCAAATCATCAGTAATCCTACCAGTTTGAAACCAATTAAGTTGATTCAATTACATCTTAATATTTTTATCTCACCCTTCATCTTACCCCCACTGGAGAAGTTTTTATTGACAAATGTATCAGACATTCCTGGCATAGATGTCTAGAAGAACAATTCCCTTGCTAGAGGCTCCAAAATCAAGTTGAGGTACTTAGAATTCTTAGAATCTGCAAATCTAGAATAGAATATCCATGTGATTAAGAGTTCCATGTCTTATTTGGTACCATCTAGAATCTAGATCAAGGCAGGTGAAGGTTCAAAGCCAGTATGCTAGCTTTGTATAAAACACGGAAAAAGTATCCTTGATCCTTAGTCATTCTATTCATCTGCTTTTTGTAATCTCTGAATGCTTAACCCAGTATTGGGTATTATAAGATTCTAACATGGCAGAAGATAACTTATTTGTGATGTGGTTAAGATACCAGGCTAGGAACTGGAGACATGGAGTTCTAGTCCTGCCTTGGATTATAAAACTAGCTGGGTGATCTTGAGCCAATCATGCTGTCTCAGCTCTAGAAAGAAATGGCAAACCAAAAATCACTTCCAAAAATCTAGCCAAGAAAACTGCAGGGACTAGTCTAGGCAGGTGCCAGAAGTCATGACTGATTTGAAGGCGTCAAAAAGAAATAAATAGAAATGGGAATACTAAACCTTTTAGTTCACAGACCAGTGTTGGAGCAAGATTTGTGTCCTTGCCATTTCCTGATTGTCTATTTTTTTTTCTAATTTTTTAGCCCCTTTAATTTTTGGACTATACTTCAAGCTTATCCTAGCCGGCCTTTGCTGAAAGAACTAAGGTCTGACAAGTGACTACATCTGAGTTTGATGGCTTCACAGTAGAGGAGAATGCATTTCTCTGAGGAACTCAGGAATGGTGTACATCAGGGGTGTCAAACTTGCAACCTACAGGCTGGATGTGTCACCTGGAGGCCATGCCCACCCCAGCTCTGTGAAGGGGAAAAAACATCACGCTATGTCACATGACAGCTACATGATGCAGCGACTTTGACGCCTGTGGTATACATCCTTCTCTGTTTCACCCAACAAATACTGTTAGATACGGTTAGATAAAGAACATGACTACCTCAGGTGTGGCTTTATTGCAGAGGATTTTGAGGTGAGCTTTATCAATCCTAATTTGATATTTCCGATAAGCAGAAACAATGATGAGAATATCCTGATACTGAGAAATGACACAGGTCAAGTCCTGTTTCAATTGTTTTTGATGCTGAACTACATAACTTTTATGTCCACACAAGATGCTTAAATTTTTGTACAAATATTGATTGGAAATGTGATGCTCATATTATATCATGCAAATTTTAAGAGTTCCTAAAATCTTATATTGCAAGGCAGCTAATTACTTCCTTCCAATTCTTGTCAGCTGTTTTGTTCTTGTTGCTGATTCAAAGGTAGCAGAAAATGGCAAGTTGCAAAATCTACATTTTTAGATCCTGTTTCAAGGTTATTATTTCATGTGGCTGGAGAAGACGCTGACACTGAAGTTTGGAAAAGTAATTGCTTTCTGCTATTTTGGCTATTTTTTCTCAATGTGTAATATGTGAAGACCAAAAATCATGTTGTGTTGGTATCTATGATCTGGGAGAGGAGATAATTGTCAGAGAAGAAAAGTTAACCCCCTTATCATCTATCTATAAGTGGTATTAGGAGAGGAAAGGAGAAAAAGATATTACTCATATTCTTCTTTTTCCTGTTGGCCTCCAACATATTCCTACTTGGGTTCTTGCTTAAATCTTCTGGATACAAATCTCCTACATTGCTTTAGGAAAATTTGAATTTTCATTTTTCACACTCAGTACTTAAGTGAAAAGCATTCCATGCTTTACATAGAACCCCTTTATTATCATAGGTAAATTTATAAAGGTTAAGACTCAGTCTAGATTTTAAGAAAGTAGAGACACAGATACATATATACATATATAGTAGTGTTGCTGAATCTTTTCGGTACTGAGTACCGTAACAGGAGCGCGTGCACAGGGGAGCACCGGAAACTGGAAGAGCAGCTCCACGGCGCATGCGTGTGCCCCGGGAAGCTGCTCTTCCGGTTTCTGGTGCTCTGGTACCCAGAACAACAGGTGACAGCTGGCATGCTTGGAGAGATGGCTTTGCGTACCACTTCTGGACTTCCACGTGTCATAAGTTCACCATCACGGATATATAGATTGGTATCAGCAATCATTGAAAATTACAATAGCTCTCTGAAAAGGTACTTAAGACTGGTTCTGAGTTAATGTGATTGCATTTTGGGCATTTGGCAACAGGCCTGCATTTATGGCCATTTGCAGTATCCCATGGTCACAATTTATGATGTTTTTGCTGAAACCCAGCATTAACTTCTGTTGTTGTCTTGGCAAAAGCGCCCCATAGCAAACAATGGGTATTTTAAATTACCACCATGTTCAATTAATGACCATGATTATTCACTTAATGGCTGTGGCAAAATAGACTGTAATATTGAGTTGGTCATAACCCACTTTACAACCATCATAACTTATGACCATAATGAGCAGGCTCCATTATGATTTCACATCAAGGACTATACATGCACACATATAAATAAATACATATAGATACTGGTACTTTCCACTTCAATATATCCCATTCGAAACTAGATCTGGCATCACATTAGAGCTGACAATACTCTCTAATTCTACTGACAGCCTTGCAAATTTCATCTGAAGCCATCACTGGACTCATTCTAATTTTTCCTAGTACACTTACTGAATTTTGCTTCAGAATACCAAGGGAATTGCTGACTCCTGTGGAAGGTAAGATGGACTGTCACAGGCAGTGGTGGGATTCAAAAAAAATTTATTACCAGTTCTGTGGGTGTGGCTTGGTAGGCGTAGTGTGGCTTGGTGGGTGTGGCAGGGAAAGGATACTGCAAAATCTCCATTCTCTCCACACCCCACTAACCTGCTTTCCAGCTCTGTTCTCCTGTTCAGGGCAACAAAAGAAGACCCAGCCAATCAGCTGGGGCTCAGGAGGCAGAGAATAGATGGGGGCGAGGCCAGTCAGAAGTGATATTCCGAACTACTCAAAATTTCTGCTACCAGTTCTCCAGAACTGGTCTGAACCTGCTGAATACCACCACTGGTCACAGAGTTGACCACTACAATAAAGACCAAGGAACCAGTGAGTAGATTGGTTCACTGAAATTTTTTTGGATAAGGAGATAATGAGAAATCATGTGCACTGGGCATCTGGTCCTAGTGAGGAAACTGCAGGACAGTGGCTTTCCCCAGGTTTGAGCATAGATAATATGGTAAGCCATTTTATTTACATACGTGGCAAACCTCATTTTTAATCACATTTGGAAATTGCTTATTAACCATCCTAAAGGTATTAGAGACCTTCTGGGACTCTAAGTGATAAGTTTGGAAATCTTTATCACATGATATTTTGACTCCGAACAAATAAATAATATGTTTTAAAAATTAAAGAATTTAAAATAAACAGGAAAACAAGATTTTGATCTAAAAAAGTTATAAATGGTTTAAGCATCCAAATACATTTGGAGACTTACAAAATGACCCAAAATGTTATAATGGAAATATTAAAGGAGATTTTTGAAGGGTAGAATCAGAAATTAGAAATTACAATATCAATATCAGTAATCATGTTTACTTCTATGGGTAAACTATGTCTAAAAGATGTTAACGAAGGAAGACAGAGGTAGAATAAATTTTATTTGACGACAAGAGAAAGTATCAGAGATGATAGGCCAAGAGAATGATATAAAAAAGGATGCTTCACTGAATATACAAAAGAAACTGGCTGAATTTAAAAAAATTAAAAATAACTCCCAAAATATAATGTTTACTGTCTACATAAGAGGTTGGTTAGTCTTGATGAAATCTGTAAAGATAAAGGATAAAAAAAGAATTGAAGAGAAATCAAATCCTACCACAATATTTCACTGAATTAAAGATCAAACTTTTTGAATTCTTTATGGACGTTCTGCTAATACTACAATTAAAAAGCTGGGGTTTTATGGGTTTGTGAATAGATAAGGGAGGGGATGTGGCATGAAAAAATAGCTGTTTAATCTTTATAGGGTAGTGTTTCTCAACCTTGGCAACTTTAAGATGTGGGGATTATAACTCCTAGTTGGCTGGGGAATGCCACACATCTTAAAGTTGTCAAGGTTGAGAAATACTGTAATAAAGGGGTGAAGACTTATAAAATTCACTTATATTTGTTGTGACAAGGGTTAGAAATCTCTCTTTTTAATGTACTTATATTTTTTTCTTTTTTCCTCATATTTTTTATTCTTTTTTTCCATTCTTTCCTCTTCATCTAAGTTCAGGTTTTACTATTGTAATTAAAATTCTTAATAAAAATGATATTAATAAAAGAATACAGCAGGAATTACCAATGAAAGATTTCTGGTGCAAGTTAAAAGTGCACCATTTCTGGGTATGCACTGGGAGACCCCAGGGATGCACAATGATCTTTCTCAAATATCTAAAAGCTAGCCCCCCCACACACACACACGTTCACACACACACGCGCATACATCAAACACTCAGGATCTAGGACAAGTTAGAATGGCTAGCTTGGCACAGTCAGCTCACCTTTGCCAATCACTACTGCCAAGTCACCTTAGGACAACTTAACACAGCCAATTCGCCATGGGGACAACTT